AGGATCTTGACTTTTCCTGGCAACTCTAGTCTGTTCTAGGCGCCCTCTTTTTTTTTTATATATAAGCTCGGCAAATAAAGCAGAGATAAAATTGCAGATAGATAGATATAGAGACAGATAATTGAGTCAAGCGAGCAGCAGTGACTGTAAGTAAAGTCTGAATCATTTTGAATTGTAGGGTGTGTTTAAGTTAAAGTGACTGGGGAAATTAAGTGTATTGCAAAGTTGTATAGAGAAATAATAAACTAGTTTTATTTAAGAAAGGACTTGTATTGCTGAAGTTCTTCGGAAATAATTTTTACGGAAATTAACAAACAACAGAGACATAGCAAATTGTTGTCAGGAGTGGGATAAAAAAAAAGAAGAAAAATATGGAAACGAGAGATGGCAAATCAAATTACACCTTAGCAGATTTGATGGCAGCAATACAAAAACCGCAAAAGAAACAAGAGGAGAGATTACAGCAGTTGTTGGAGGAAAAAGAAAAGAAACAAGAAGAGAGACAACAGCAGTGGCAAGAAAACCCGCAACAGTGACAGCTCGAACAGCAAAATAAACAAGAGAGACTACAGCAGTGGTTGGAGGAGAAAGAAAATAAACAAGATAAGAGATTACAGCAGTGGCAACTGTAACAAGAAAGGAAACAGGAAAAGTCTCCAACAGTTACAGGAAAGTCAACAACAGTGGCAAGAAGTACAAATTGAAAACATTAGTAAATTTCAAAGTGAACTAAATACATTAAAGGATGATTTACTCTCTTTTACACAAGGAGGATATATTAGCCATGGACCTAATCAGCCTCATACAATTGGAAGCCCCTTCCAGACCCCACAGCTAAACCCTAATGGCATCTTCAGTCCTGTCAGAAGTCACATTCAGAAGTCAGCAATAGGGGTGATCTAGTACAAAGGAAACCACAGGAATTTGATGGGAAGGCACCGTGGAAAGCATATAGAGCACAATTTGAGCTACTGGCAGAAATGATTGGATGGACAAGAGAGCAGAAGGCAGTGTACCTAGCAACGAGCTTGAAGGGACAACCACTGGAAATACTTGGACAGTTGTCAGCAGAGGACAGGTACAACTATAGAGCACTGGTAGCTGCTCTAGAACTCAGATATGGAACC